GAGGCGGAGGAGGAGGAGGAGGAGGAGGAGGAGGAGGAGGATGAAAGTAAAAAAATAATAACGCCAGGAAATTTATAATTAAGCACAAGGAACGTCTTGGTACAAATATTCCTATCTCCCATGTTTTGCATTTTCACCAGCACTCATCCTGAAAGCAAATGAAAGCGTTTAAATCGTTCAAATTTTAACTGAACACTGAGTGACCGGGATTTTTCCGTCCAGCCCATTAGTGCGATTGAGACAGATCAGTATGCCTGTTAAATGAGTTATCGCAGTTCCAGCAGCAGGTGTCAGAACTGTTAATTTGATTTACTCATAAGTGACCTTGTGGGCCGAACAGACTGAATGAACAATTAGAAGAAATTCGTCTATTCCTTATATTGGCACAGGCTTTGATAGGCTGCAGAATCGTCTGTTAAAAATACTAGCTTGATAATTATTTGTTCATTAGACGCAGTCTGACAACGAACAGGATGGTGACCATTTGGGGCAGGTGTTAAATATCATTGATGGCCATCTTTCCACATATATACAAATTATGTAAATTAAACCGATTTGAATTTAGATTGCCCACAATCTGGATTTGAATTTGTTTGCCACACTAGCCAAGGTGAAAGAACCCATACTCGGAGCGCAGCAGACCACTGTGCTTTACCCTATTTCTTGTGCTAACTGTTCTTGTACCTACGTTGTTCATACAAACCGACGACGTGGCACGCATCTTAACGAACATAAGCTGGCCATCCGCCTGCCTTATTCATGTTTACGCGTGCACTTGAGTGTCACTATCGTTTCAACTGGGATAGAACTGAGATGGTTGCCATGGCCAACACCAAACAGGCGCGAGAATTCCTTGAGGCCGTGCGACCAGCATAAATCTTCCCATCGATTTGCACAATCATTATGAAGGGCTGCGTGTCCGGCTCACTAACTAATGCTAACGACCTAACAGTGACCGCTAGTCTGTGCTGGACCTATTTAAATCCTATTTTATCGCAACAAGTCCTCACCGGGCATTGTGAACCAAAGCTGCGTTCCCAAACATCTCCAACATGACCGCGGAGCCTCCGCCAACCTCACGCCGACGATAGCTGCATCTGAAGTGTGTAGTCGCACTGAATCCCCATCCTCTCCCCTTCCTACCTTCGTACCAATTCCTACTCCCTCCCCCACCTAAGTTTCTACCGTGGCTATGTTTCCACCGCCTTCTTTACACATGGTTGCCTGTCTGTCTTGTCACGCCAACTTGTCTTTGCTGTCATTTCACTTTTTCCTCTGTTAATTTCGTCTGACATCCTTTTGGAGTCATTAAATTGAAAACGCACGTGTACAACAAAAGGTTTCCAACAAAGCTTTCTTTGTTCATGAATAAATGTCTACAGAAGGACACCGCCAAAAAAGGTAAGGGAGACTGAAATGACTCTTACGACATTACTTGAAAGTGAACTCACCGTACAATGTTTGTTTGGTTGGATTGCAACGCGGCAGCCATTTTTCCTGCATCTACTAATTGATTTCATTTTATTATCATATTAACTGGTGGTCTGGCGTCCATGTATTTGCAACAGTTTGCCCCCCAGGTGCACAGATATGAACATTTCGATTTTTTGGGGCTTTTATGCTTCAAAGGTGCCTGTAGCCAGTGGCAGCAACCGGTGATACTGGTTGGCGTCAAGTGCAGTTACTGTCTTCCTGTAGAGATATAGCAGGGACCACGACAGATAAGAACGCCGCGGAAAAAGGCAGTTGTCTTTAGGAATGATTGCTCAAAGTGCACTGTAAGGCTTTTTATGTTTATTCACAATGCAGGACTGAAATTTATTTGCTCAACCAGGGAACTGGTGCGTGCGTTACTAAATCTTTGGTGACAACTTAGAGATTAGATAAAAATATCCTCCAGTTGGGTGTCGTTGTGACTTCAAAAAGGGAAACCATGTCTGAGAAATGAGGACGGCCGCATTTGTCATAGGTTTTTTCGTCATGCATATATATTTACAAGTAACCGTATGATAGTCGACCTGATACTCCTTTCAAGGACGTTGACTATATCCGTGTTTTGAATCAGTTTCTAACGCAACCTCCAGCCCTCACCTCAGTAATAATTTTAAAAAAATGTGATGTTATCTATTAATCCAAAGCCAACCGTATTTGTAAGTCTACCATTAGCCCGCACATTAAATTAAAATCCGGCTTACGTCCTGATCTCAACACGGTCACCTAAAAGAGAGGCATGTATCCCCGTTTACTACCGTTTGTGCAATCACGTCACTTATGTGATGTACGATATGTATTAGGATGTAGTAGACGTTTTTGAGGATTCCTTGTTTGTACACGTTTGTTTAAAAGAATATAACGGAGATGCACGTGAACTGAATGATTTCATTTAACTGATATATAATAAAACTTCTGAATAGTTTACTAGGGGATAGCTGAACAGATTTGCATAAAGTGTGTGCCAAACGCTGCAAGCTTCTCACAGACTCGCCTCGGAAATATTCAATAATAAGTTATATATCCTAAGAAAGAAAGCAGGTTGTATCCAATTCATTGACAAAAACGACTATTTTATGTATCCATCTTGCATGAAACATTTCCACGCACACGTTTTTAACCTTTAAAATAAAAAGTTAGCAAGGATTTTAAATGCGCGAAGAGACAATCAGTTGAAAGCGTCCGTTTTCTCCAAATATATCTTTCTTATGAGAACGTTTTTTGATGCTATGAAAGCTCTCCGGAGAGAAGGCATTTCAAATCACAGTGAGGTTTAAATCAAGTGCTTTTTGGCCCTTTTCCGATAGCAAATATCAGACTTTGGTCAGAATATTAAGTGGTTATCTTGCTTAAGCTTGCCAAATTAATTTACCACGCAAACTTTGTCAGAGAATTATAGGCATACACAGATATATTTAGCGAGACGACCACCTCGAATGATGGATTTATGTGTCTTTTTTATCGTAACATAGTGGCTGCACGATTACACATGCGATCCCTAGAAACCATTAAAAATGCATGACATATTCAATTTTAATTTAGTCTTAATTTTAAAAAATGTAACGAAGATATCACTAGCCACTTGTGGCCATGTGACTAGCCCAATTCTCTAGACTTTTGTGTGCTCTTTCTTCAACTCAGTTCAATCAAATGTTTCACGCACGTATAAATAATAATATTCAATAAATATTCGCACATTAAAAACTTGAACATAGTAAATTTACTGCCATTTATTTCACACCTTTTACACTGCTCTTTATGACCTAGAATTTATAAAAACCATATAGGTACGCAAATAACAAAAGTTTTTTTTTTAAATTCATTTCAGAACTCAGATTTTTTGCAACGCTTTTCGAAGCAGGCCAAATAATCCGGAAACCATTTACTATCACAATACTTTTTTTACTATACCATATGCTCTGAGAGACTGAGATGCGTAGAAATTGAGCTCACTAGAAATTCCTTCAAAACAAAAGAACTTTTAAATGTTACCCATTCCCAGGAATGCAGTCTGCTTTTAAGAGCGGTACAATCAAAGTAGTAGGAACACGTAAGCGCTGGGAACACTGCACGCTGATCTTAGCAGATAGCATCGGAAGTTGCGTTTCATGGTCCAATTGCTCGCTATAAATTCCCACTGGATGCTGAAAATGCAATGGTGTGTGAAAGTGCTCATAAGTGCATTAACGGAGAAAGCATTAGAGCCAACTGACTTGCATGCGAACAGACGTCGGTATAGCGGCGATAATGTCTTTGACAACAGTTCAGAACCTGCGAAAAAAGGTTGTGATATTCTAGTTTTAAAATGACTGAAAGTCCGATTACAGCTTAGTATGCTGCTTTGTCGTTAACCACGGTGAATATAAAAATGTACTCAAATTTCCTGAAAATAAAATTAGCAGTTTTAGGCGTCGCAGTAACCAATGAAATTGATAATAGGGGATACGGATAGATCTTGAAAATGTAGTCTTTTTTCCTACTCTCGATGATTAAAGTATTTTGTTTTAAGTATTTGCCGAAAAAAGAATTGTGCAAAATTATGTGAGCGTACAAAGAACTTCACCAGAGTTTATTAAAACTCGTTATGTTGTCCATTCATTGAGAAATATTGCTAACTATTTAAATCAGCTTTGAAGCATAGAACAACTTCCAGAGCTATATAATTGCGTTTTAAATTAAAGTGGTCCTTTTCCTAAAATACAAATACTAGAGACTATAAATATCAATAAAAAATACAAGCGAGTGAAAAAAAA